TGATCTTCTGCAAAAGTCTCTACAGCAGCAGCCACGTTTTTTTCATGGTAGTCACATTTCCCTTTTCTCGGCAGAGCGATCAGCTTGAGAGGTTTCTTTCCATCAGCTACAGCATCACAGTAATTCCCAAGAAGACTGTAACAGTAAGACAATAATACTGTGCATCGTCCGGTTTTTGTTCCCACACCCTTGTTGGTTCCTCCGATGCTGCCTGGGGGTCCTCTAGCGCTGATCTGGGAAGGTCTGGGAAAACGTCTGGGCTATCGCAGCTCCTCCTGCAGCTGCCGCTATCCCTGGTAGTCTTGAAAACTTTAAAATCCAGACATACAAACGTTTAACGTAATAGTATGACAAAGCTCAATGCCTCCGTAGATTTTTGCAGCATTTTGGCACTTTTGCTTTGCCACATCTTCCCCATCTCTACCCCCCCAATACTTTTGTGAGCATTTTTTTTTAATTATTACTGTAATACCTTTTCACTGGTAATATACTTACTGGCATCAAATGCCCAATCCAAGTTCAAATTTCTAGGGGTGGAAGCAGCTTCAAAGTTTGAGCATATAATACTACCAAATTAGTTACCACGGAAGTGCTGCAAATTGATATGCATGCTGCTGCAGGTACAAAATGACCTTGACTGTCCTTGAAGCCAAATATAATTGAGGAACCTCAGAATCAAAATCCCAAACATTTGTTCATGGCTCATTGCTGATAACAAGCTGTGTGAGTCAAATGGCCTTTGTGACCTTTAACACGAATGGGCCCCAATTCTCATGAATCAGGGTCCAAGTCTGGTTATCTTACAGGTGGCTCCAAGCAATTAAGTGGGTGGTTACCTTAATTGCTAGACCAGAAAAGAGCCAGGCATGGGCTGTCCAGCCAAGATAGGTAGGGAATGTGTGGTATTTCCCCCTCACCTTGCAGGCTATTGTGCATTGCCCCCTTTTCAAGTTATTGTGGACTGCCCTTGTAAAAACTCTGTGAATGTGCTGTTCGTGACCGCACTCCGGTAAGAGGTGTTGGTCCTGGCTGGCCAGCTGGCCGGTCGGTCAGTTGGTTGAAGGCTGCTCAATTCTGATCCACTGCGTCGGGGACAGCTGGGAGCCCACGCTTGGACATGCCGAGCTTGAATAAACCGCCTTTGTGGGCTTGCTTTGATGTCAGACTTCTTGTGATTCATTGGGTAACTCAAGACCTGAGCTTAGCACAGTTGAGCTTTCTCTGTCACTGCTGATCCGAGCACAACAAACTTACCTTTAATAATGTGATGAAGGGGTCAATTGTGATGCAGTGGACTAAGCCACAACCAGTAAGGCAGTCGTGTGAGCCATGGTTTGTGTCCTGGCTGCTCTACTTCCTATCCAGCCCCTGCTAATGCACCTAGGAATGCAGCAACAGATGACCCAAGACCCGGGGAGATCACATGGAGTTCCCGGAATCCGTCTACTCCCTGCCTCAGCACTAATTCTTACAGCCACTTGGAAAGTGAATGGATAGATGGATGGAAGACCTCTTTTACCCTCTCTTCCTCTTTTTCCTTTCTCTGAAAGGAAACTTCATCTTTCAAATTAAAATTGTCATTGTGGCATAGTGGGTAAGCTGCCACCTGAGTCCTATGTGGGCACCAGTTTGTCTTGAAACGGAGTCAGGATTAGGACCAGCGTAATAAATCCAGGAACTCCATCTTAATGTGACATGGGTGTCTTGGCTGCTACGCCAAATGCCTGCCCCTAAGGATATGACTTTAAGATTGATTTGAGAGGTAGCGTGGCAGAGAAAAGACACACACATGCACAAAGAGAGAGAAAAAGAGAGCGAGGTTTTCCATGTACAGGTTCACTCCCGAAATAGCCACAGTGGACAGAGCTGGGTCATATTGAAGCTAAGAACTTCATTCAGGTCTCCTACCTGGGTGCAAGGCCCACCATCTACTGCTTTCCCAGGCACATTAGCAGGGAGCTGGATCTGAAGTGAAGCAGTTGGGACTTGAATAACATGGTCAAAATGGACATTCAGAGATGTTATTGTGCATTTGAAATGGGAAGAAAGGGAAATTCAAAGCTAAATCTCTGTCCAGCAGCTTACATTTCTCCAAACTTATACAAACTTAAAATATTGAGTGAGTCTACCCCTACCTTGTTTTGGTCTCAACACTACCATTCTTATATCTCAACATATTCCTAACTCCTCCATTTGAATTTTTAAAAAGATCGATTGATTGACTGGAAAGGCAGATACACAGAGAGAAGAAGAGACAGAGAGGAAGATCTTCTGTCCAATGGTTCACTTCCCAAGTGGCCCCAACGGCTGGAGCTGAGCCAATCCGAAGCCAGGAGCCAGGAGCTCTTCCAGGTCTCCCACATGGGTGCAGGGTCCCAAGGCTTTGGGTCGGCTGGATTGGAAGTGAAGGAGTGAGGACATGAACTGGTGTCCATATGGGATGCTGGTGCTTGGAGGTGGAGGGTTAACCAGTTGAGCCATTGTAGCAACCCCAAGATAGATTTTATTTGTGCCAATATGTTCCCCAATATGTTCCCCGAAAATCCTCCTCTGCCCCAAAGAGGAAACCACTTTTTCTTGAAAAAGGGTTTTAACTGTTCTAGACCTTCATATAAATGGATCATACAATATCAGTAATTCTTTCCTTTTTATATGGCTGAGTAGTACTCTTATTTAGGAACATGCTGCAGTCTGTTTAGTCATTTACCTATTAGTGGGTTTTAGGTCATTTCGTTTTTGACTGTTATAGGTAATATGAACATTCTTCTGTCTGAGATACGGAGTGATCCTCCATTTACTTGTTCTCTCCCCAAATGTCTGCAACAGCCAGGAGCCAGGAGCTCTAACAAGGCTTCCCATGAGGGTGGCAGAGACCACCCAATTTCCAGAATTTCCAAGGCTTAGTAATTACGTCTTACTTTTGTTCTAGTCTTCCGTTCATTAAAAAAAAAAATGTTTTTGGCCTTTTTTTGAGTTAGAGCTGTATTCTATTTTTTTTTTGTTTTTTGTTGTTGTTGTTTTGAGAGCTGTATTCTAGACCCATTTTTTAAAACTTATTCCAGATATTTCTGCAAATATTTTCTATCAGTCTGTGGCTTATTTAGACATTGATTCACTTGAGTTTTATTTCTTTTCCAGAAAATTTGCTTTGCAAAGATTTTTCTACTTCAGTCTGTGGCTTATTTTTTAATGGTATCTTTTGATGAGAAGATATTCTTATGAAGTTTAAGTAACCAGTTTTGTTTCTCTTGGATAAGACATGTAGGCATACCCTTAGATCGTATTCTCTTTATTGTTAAAAAGCTTTTACATTCAGTTTATTGAATTTTATCCTAATCTTTAGAGAAATCTAAAATCTGATACATACTCCTTTTTCCTGTGAGTTCACAATTTAAGATTTTGCCATACTTGCTTTGTCTGCAATGACTTGTTTTAAAGCTAAAATATTCAAGTACATTTTATGACCTTCAGCTGTATTTTAGCCTGCATTTCCTAGAAGGACACTTTTTTCACACAGCCACTATACTATTTTCACACTAAATATACCAATCAACAGTTCAAATCTTCAAATGTAAAATCCCTTGCCATGGTCCCTGTCACTATCTTGATGAGCCGGTCTTACTATAAATGAAAAACAAACAAAAACCAGGGGCCAACATGGTGGCATATTAGGCTAATCCTATGCCTGTGGTGCTTGCATTTCATAAAGGCACTGGTTTTGGTCCTGGTCTCCCAGTTTCTGATCCAGCTCCGTGCTTATGGCCTCAGAAAGCAAAGGAGGATGGCTCAAGTTCCTGGCCTCCCATACTCATGTGGGAGATCTGAAAGGAGATTCTGGCTCCTGGCATTAGATCAGCTCAGCCTTGGCTGTTGTGGCCATTTTGGGGAGATGGAAGATCATCTTCTCTTTGTCTCTGCAAGCGCCTTTCAAATAAAAATAAACAAATCTTAAAAAAAATGCCCAAACAAAATGTCTTTTCTTGCTGGAATTCTAAGAGGAACCATATGAAAGCCATCAGCGTGGAGAGAAGGAACATCCTTTCTCTGCTAATGCTTTGATCAATGTGGCATGTTATTTATTTGGTTCCCTTCCCTTTGTTCCACCAATATTCTGTGGTTTTCAGTAGATCGCTCTTTGTTTATTGGTTAGACTGACACATCTATATCAGTTTATACTGCTCCAGCTTATGTTTTTGTTTCATTTGATGTTACTAGTGAAGGCATTGTGAAATACTAGAATGAGAGATACTTTGTTAAGTAAAATATTCTCTGAACCACATTAGCTAACATAAATAAAACCTGAGGCCTCTGCCTGTACATCCCATCCAGCTTGATATCTGGAGTAGCGTTGTGACCAACTACTGCTCCCTGCTTTGGCTGTAGGAAGAATGCCAGTGCTGTGTGTAAATGAAGCCAGAATGGCTCAAATGTGCCTGTCACCCATAGCATGCAGTCTCCACCCGTGCCACGGGTGACTCAGACAATGGGTTGGCCTTGGGAGTTATTGTTCCAGACCCTGCTGTCAATGACGGTCACCTCACCTCCTCTTCGTTACCTCTTGCAGTTAAGCCCCCATTGCAGCCAGTGTAGCACACTGAGAAACACTGGTTCACGGACGTGCCTAACATTTAGTTCTAGTCTTCGCCCGTTCCGTTGCCTGATTCCTAGCTCACCTTCCTGCGGCCTTATACGCTGTCTTGGCTAATTCAGTGCATCACTCAAATCTCGGCCCAAATGCTCTTCCTCAGAGACCTTTCAGCTTTGATTATTTTGTTTTTAACAGAATCTTTTAAATTTACTTTTATCTGATATATCAGAGGGGACATAGATAAAATAGATCTTACTCGTTTTGTGTACCTCAGCGTGTTCAGGCCTACTGTGTGCCAGACACTGAGCTGAGACTTACAGGCTCCAACTGACTGCAGCAGATGCCTGTCACATAATAGGATAACATTATTTTGAAAATATCTTTGCTATATTATCTTAATTTATAATATCAGAACATTTTATAGAATTTTATTTTAAAAACTTAGGGAAACACTGATATAATACATAAAATTTTCTGTTACCATCATATTCTGAAAAGTACAAAATTCAAGTGTGTAAATTTTACATCTTCTCCCAGAGTGATGCAAAATAACAAGTTTGTATCTTTTATATATACACATGTAGGAGCTCCATTCTCCTGGAAACCAGTGGGAACACATTGAATATAACACTTAGGGTTGAATTTCATAACCCAGGGGATCAAATCCTTGGTCGAGGAGCATCAGAGAGGATTCCCGCAACTTCTGCAGCAATTTCTTCAGTTCTTCCTTAGAAAACACCTGATTTTTAAAAAGAAAAAAATTAAGAATCAAAAGATCACAAACTTAGTTACCCAATCAGTTACTAACTTAATACAAGTTTTTCTTTTTTTTTTCTTAAAGATTTATTTCTCGACCTGGTACAATGGCTAAATTGGCTAATCCTCCCCTTGCAAAGTACTGGTTTATGTCCCAGATGCTCCACTTCCATCCAGCTCCCTGCTTGTGGCCTGGGAAAGCAGTAGAGGACCGCCCAAAGCCTTGGAGCCCTGTACCCGGATGGGAGACCCGGAAGAATCTCCTGACTCCTAACTTCAGATCAGTTCTGCTCCAGTCATTATGGCCACTTTGGGAGTGAACCAGTGGATGCAAGATCTCTCTGTAAATCTGCATTTCCAAAAATAAAAATTAATTTAAAAGGATATTTATTGGAAAGGCAGATTTATAGAGATAGAAACTTCTGGATCTTTCACTTGTGTACAGGGGCTCAAGGTCTTGGACCAGTTTCTGCTGTTTTCCTATGTGGATAAGCGATGAGGTGGAATAGAAGTGGATAAGCTGGGACTCAAACCAGTGCCCAAATGGGATGCCAGCACAGAAGGCGGGTGCTTAAGGTTCTATGCCATGGCAGTGGCTCCTAAAAATTTAAGACTTTAAGGATCACAGCCTAGTTAATTAGAGGAGTTCAGGAACTTCAAGGCTATTTTTCTCAGTCTATAAACATTTAGGGTTGGTGTTAAGATACAGTCAGTTAAGCTATAGCTTAGAACGCCAGAATGTCATATGGGGATGCTGGTTTGATTCCTGACTTCTCTGCTTTCAGATTCAGCTTCCTGACAATATGCCTGAGAGGGAGGAGATGATTGGCCCCAAGTTCTAGGGTCCCTGCTACAACATGGGACACCCAGATGGGATCTGGGAATCCTGGCCATCCTTGCATTGGAGACATTGGAGGAGCGAATCAGCAGATGAAGATGTCTCACTCTGCCCTCAAAGTAAGTAAGTAAAAATTATAAATTAAAAAAATAATAATCAAAGAACACTTGGCTTCTGTTGAGTATATATAAATTTTGGTGCGGGACACACATTTTGAAACTGGCCCACCACTTCGAGAAAATCCAAGAGGAACTAAAAGATGTAAACCCATCTTCACAAAGTGAGTAGTTCTCTAATGACCAAGATGCTCCAGTAATTACCAGGTACAGTTTGTGGCGCTCAGACGACACCATGTCTGCTAACTGCAGGCACTCCTGGTGTTGGCCGGTGCTGTGCAGGATGGTATGCAGCAGAAAGCACAGCATGGGCAAACAGAGCTTTCTCAGCAAAGCCATCTGATGTGTTCTTTCATGGTCTTCCTCGGCATCCTGAACACAGATACCACGTTAGCACTTCAGCAACTGTGAGCCAAGTCAAAGTCATCCCTCCAGCCCCACAGGTCCCCAAGCTGCAGGTTCAACCAAGTGTACACTGAACGCATTCGGGGAAAACACTGCATCTGTACTGAGCACTTTTTTCCTTGTTACTGTTCCTTGTATAACAACTAGGTATAACCGTATAACAATTAGGTACACAGCATTTATATTATATTAGGTGTCATAAGAATTCAGAGATGATATAAACTTTATAGAAGGATGTACAGGGATTATATACAAATACAGTCTATCTTTTTCAATAAGGGACATGAACATCTGTGGAGTTTGGTATCTGCAGGGGGTCCTGGAACAAGTCCCCAGGGACAGTGAGCAAAACTATACTGATCAAAACCAAAATAGGCAGATGCTGAACAGTTTTTCCAAAGCTTCTCATGTCTACTGAGAATAAAAACCCTGGGAGCAGGCTTGGTAGGGGAACCTTGGGGACTGCCTGCTGCTTCCACTGGTGAGTTTAACAGCTGGGACAAGAGGTGGGCCTCTCTGGGCAGGGTTGCAATATTTGGGCCACATTAGCCAGTATTTGGGCCACATCTGGGGCAGGCCAGGCTGGGCTGTGCTGGCGCACTAGCTGGCAAGTGCTGGGACTGGGTGCAGGTCATGTCAGGCTGTCCACAGTGCCCCCTGGTAGGTACAAGATCCAAGGCTGGAAGCAGGCTTGGTAGGAGAACTGTGGGACTCCTTGCTGGGCTATAGTTTCTACTGATGAACATGAGAGTCAGGGCTAGGGGCAGACCAGAGCTGTTCAAGATGGTAGCACTGTTGGCCCATGTGTGGGTTAGGTCAGGGTATGTACAACAGCCAGACAGAAGGTGGGACAGACCAAGCTAGGCAGCAGTACATGCCAAAACCAGGACTGGGGTGGGCCAGGTGAGAGTTATTGGGGTTGCCCCAACTAGGCTGCAGCACCTGCTGGTGTATGTGAAAACCGGGCCTGTGGCAGGCTGGGCTAGACCACAGCACTCATCAGTTTGTGTGAAAGATGGGGCTGGGGGTGGAACTGACCAGCAGCTGCATTCACCATAATGTGTGCTGGCTGGTGCAGGTGACAGACTGAATCTGATCCTGCATAAGCTGGCACACCTCACACCAGGTGAGGTTTCTTCGGGGACACCACAACTAGATCCTTGTACTCAAATGATCGCCTTAGGGAAAATCACAGGCTGTGGTCCAACCTTGGAGTGGATATACAGGGACTGGGCCTCCTCAGTTACTGATGCCTGTGCAGTGGACAGCATGAGCAGATGCACGTGGGGGACATGACAGCCAGCTCATCTAGGCCAGCTCATTATGTCGACTGTCTCACTAGAGGATGGAAAGAAGAATAGGTTGGATAACACTTCTACCTAAGCTTCCAACATGTTCCTGGGCCTGTGATGCCCTGAGGTTGACTTGGTCAACCAGCAGATCTTGGAAAGATTTTCTCAGCCCTGGTGCAACGAAGCTGACAATGTCTCAGAACTATCAAAACCACTCAAGTAACATACTTGGAACATTCTTTCCCATATTTAGGCATCATCAAATGACTGTCTCCCACACTTGGGTGTTGATGTCGTTGACGGTAAGGAGTGCCAGCCTCCCCACCCCCTGACTAAAGCACACCAGCAGAAGAAAATGAAGAGATGAGAGAGAAAGAAAAATAAAATAAATAAATAAAGCCAGGCTTCATGAGGCTATGTAGAGAACAGGATTTTACAGCAGAAAAGGCTGAAGACAAAGCACTCCAGAGAGGGTACAGCATGAGCACAAAAATACAACGTTTCTAACTCTGTGCTTCTAATAGGCTTATTGTGTGTAGAATAAAATATGCATGAAAAGGATAAAAGAGCCTAGATGTCATCGCAGTAAAAATCAGAACAGAGGATAATGGCCATCTCCCTAAGCAGAGCCGTAACTGCAGAGTGATGCAAAGAGCGAGAGCCCTGCTGGCTGGCAGCTCTAACTGCCTAGGAAGACGTGGAGCAGACTGGGAGAAATAAAATGTTTTGTAAATTTTATTTTTAAATTTTATTTTTAAAAAGGAAGAATGAAACAGTTTATGGTTTCCTGCATAGAAAGAAAAAAGTAAGAGACTGAAAGAATCTACAGATCGAATATT